CAGGAGTCCAGCGCAGTTGATTGAACCCCAGCTCGGGCATCCTCGACAGTGATTTGACCAGCCGTGATGATGTCCTCCAAGTCAAAGCCGAGCATTCTGGACCGGCCGCTGAGCCGCGGCAAGAGCGAAGTGAGCCTCAGTCTGTTCGCGCTGCTGTTTGCCGAAATAGTGCACTACACCCACAACCGGGTGCAGTCGGTGTCCGAGCTGCAGAACAGGTGAGAGAAATCAGGGGTGGATCCAGGAATTTTCGGGAGGGGGGGGGGGCGGCAAGTCGAAATAGGGGCGACCTGGCAATCCGGGGGCGCTCCATACAAAGGGAGCGCCAAACCGTCAAAATCGGGAGCTAAAAGCCCGCGCCGTGCTAGGGGGCGTTATCGCGCTCCCCCTCAGGTTTTTCGCAAATATCTGAAAGACGGCTGCGCGCAGCGCCGCCATTTTCAGCTTACCTTATCATGCATCTTTTTTGCACATGTTGTAAAAATGTCTGACGCGGGTGATGGAAGGTCAGGTCACCAGGTTATGCCAAGTGACCTAGCCTAATAAAAAGTTCAAATGCTTACCATTGCTATACCGACTGAACGATTGCTTTGAACCTTTCAGCGATTGATGAAAGCAACACTACTCATGAAATGTATATCTCGGAATTTCGATATCTGTGACCTAAGGTCAGGTCAGTTGTGCGACGTCTCCATTAGGTAGGTAGGTATAATTAAGTCTTTGGGAGAAAACTGAAAGGCATCTCTTTTGGACGAGCGCCATTTTAGACAATATCAAGCATTGGGATACATATAAAATTAACACACTGAATAAGAACATTGTACCTAGTGTGACCATTCATTATGTCCCAGAGGTCATCCCATGTCATGAAAGGTCCGCAGCAGTTTTTTTTTTTTTTAAATAGCTTTTGATAGATTCAAGCTAGAGCGATAAAAACACATCAGCTGTGTTCAGCTCGACGATACGCATCGACTGCTATGCAGCATGACCTTTCCCGGTCAGATCATGACCTTGACCTGAGGTCAAATTCTCAAAATTGCCTTTCATAAGGTCAACCTTTAGTTTGGTCGACGTGTCTCGACGACAGAAACGCAATGCTGGCAAACGTAATGTCGAGACTCTCTTGAGTCAAAAGTTAGTTCAGGAAAACATTGTTCGTAAAAAGGCTATTTTTAGTCTTTTGCCCTCTGAAGGCTAAACCGCTGACCTGAGGTCAAATCTGAGCGCAGCTTGCAGAAACACTTTTAAAAGGGCTATCGAATGCGCTTTTCTGCGGCGCTATAGCTCTATTGGTTTCCGAGTTATGTGCCGCTGCTTCGAAAACGGAAAATTGTTGAAACAGGCAACATTTTACCTTTGATGACCTCTGGTGACCTGACATTCGACCTGACCTAAAATATGACCGTTTTGTTTTCGTCCTGTTTTTTGACGATCTTTCGAATGCCGCTTATCGCGTGTCACTACGCGGCCCAGGAGCCGAGTTAGACGAGGGAGTGTGTCCCCCCCCCCTCCCCAGCAGGACACGGATAACTCAGACCACCAGCACGGCGCGGGTTAAAAGTCGTAGATGGGCACCGCTACCCTAGCCAAAGATATTAGCAAAAAGATGGCCTCCATTTACTGGTGCAGTCCTTCTCCCGGTGATGCCCCCTCCTTGTTCTGGAAGCGTCTCACTTATGCTGGTATGCCTCACTTCCCGGGGGCGCCCAACCTCTGCTTGGATCGCCTAATCCATTATGGAGAGACCCACTTTGCTTCAGTCGCCTCATTTCTTGCTTCTAAGAACGACCAATTTGCTGTAGGCGGCCCACTTATCTGGGACGCCCATCTTCTGCTTGAAGTGCCCCTCTTCTTCCTGATGCGTCCCACTTCTGCTACGAGTGCACCTTTTCTGTTAGGGCGCCCCTTTGCTACTGAGGAGTCTTTTTTCTCCTGTGAATAGGGCGGCCCTCTCCTGTTGGGCGACCCCAAATTCTGCTGGAGGCGCCCCACTTCTGCCCAACTTTGGTGGGGTGTCCCTCTCTTGCAGGGGGCACTTCTCTTTTGCTGGAGACGCCACTCTTGTGGGGGCGCCCTTCCACTGCGGGGAACGTCTCTCTTCTGCCAGAGGCACCCCTTTTCACCCTATTTTATATTCTTGTAACGAGACGCCCTCTTCTGCTGGGGGCGCCCATCTGCTGCTGGGGCGACTCTCATCTGCTGGGAATAGGCAATTGGGCGTCACTCTCCTGCTTGGTGAGCCCAACTTCTGCTGGAGGCGCCCTATTTCTGCTGAACCTTTGCTGTGTCGCCGCTCTTATGCTCGGGGCGCCCTCTCTGCCGCGGGATATGGGCGCCTTTTTCGGATGGCGGGGGGGGGGGGGGGGGCGGCCGCCCCCGTCGCCCCCCCCCCCCTGGATCCGCGCCTGAGAGAAATCACACCTGTTTCAGGTGTTCACTATTACTTCAGCTGCTGACGTTCGCTGAAAAGCTGAGGTGATTGAGGATTGAGGCGAAAAAATGCCTCCGTCAGAGCTCGAGTTAAGAGGAATATTGCAAAAGAAATAGACATTCCTTACATTTCCTGACACCAACGGGTATCAGGAAGTCTTTACCGCGTCCGCATGAAACCTTTGTCCATCTTTTTCACAGGCTGTCTGAGATGGGTTATCAGGTCGGTATCCGCATGTTGGATCTCATTGTGGTCCGAGAGCGGAACCTGAAGAGAGAAACGAAGATACTCAACATTCTGCTGTTCATCAAAGGCACATTCTGGAAGGTAAATGATATGTCATTGTCTTGTTATGCGACCTGTTTTGATAGCCTCCTCCCAAATGTTTGATCAGAGAAGATAGCAGTAGTCTACAAATCACCTATCGGATCAGGGGAATATTTCGAGGCCGAGCGGTATGGCACCTACATTGAACCACTAATGTTTTGATGATGGAACACTCATGGCCTAAACCCACAGCAGTTACTGTTTGTCACACATGTAGCTACAACAACTATTCAGATATTCCTCCAGACACTTTTGCCATAACGTTGTCCTTCACCCCACCCAGACTTTGTTCGGGAAGGAGGCAGACAAGCTGGAGCACGCCAACGACGACCAGCGCATGTACTACATCATCGAGAAGGAGCCGCTGGTCAACACGTTCATCTCGGTGCCCAAGGACAAGGGCAGCCTCAACTGCGCTGCATACGTGGCCGGCATGATCGAGGCCGTACTGTGCGGATCCAACTTTGTGAGTTGGAGACTACTGGCGGGAATCTTGGGACAAGGACTCGTGAGTGGGTGAGGCCGGTTGAAGTTTTAGTGATCAGATATCAGCATATTGTGGCGAAGCTCGTCAGATCATCTATCATGTCATTTCAATAGCATGGCCTTTACCGGCAGTCTCTGGATCGACCAGTGGTGTTCTGTCATTCGCTAACGTGACACGATCCCTGTCCAATTGAGTTGACCCGTGCACACCTTTCATCTTAGTTAATGCCAACAAACTGCATTTTCTCACTCAGCCCAGTGAGCCACCCGCCCATTGCTATAGCTCTTTTGCTGTCCCCTGTCCCTCATTGTTCTATTGGTTCTTTTACCCGGCTCCTTTTTCATCCCATAACTGGTGACACTACGCCGCTGTTTCGGCTCTCGTTCCACCAGCTATTTGATGTTTGGTGCTTCATTGTTTGCACCTCCGCCTACTTTTATTTTCGATGTTATTTACTGCCCTTTGTTTAAATCTTAGGACGTATCAGTTGGCTACTTCAATCCATGGCTGCTGATGTTTGCTCAGCTAGCCCCCATCCCCCCCTCTGTTTCAGCCGGCTAAGGTGACCGCTCACTGGCACAAGGGTACCACGTTTATGGTGCGGTTCGAGAGCTCCGTGCTGGCCCGGGACGCACAGGTGGACACCCGGTAGGACAGCCGTGTCCAATCCACTGTGGATACCCCGTCCTCGCCGGTGGAGGGTCGTCTCTCCCGGATAGAGCGGCCGCTGAGGCAGGATGAGTCGCCTTGGCAGCCGCCGCCTGTCGCCCGCAGCTGGGCCGGACATAGCTCCACTGGTACAGACGCGATCAGTGTGGACTGTGTGTACTGTGTACCAAGATACAGCCCAGTGATACGAGACCGAGCCGAACGGACGGACGGTCCCAGAGAAGCTGAAAGGGCCGCCGGAGATACCCCAGCGAGGCCTGAGGTGTTGGGACAGGATGCATCTATGTGTGCTGCGTCATGATCATGACTGCAAGTCCATTCTGCGACACTAGGACCATCTAGGAGTCTTTCTCTCGTTTGTGTCTGTGTCCCGGACAATGGTAACTCCTACAAACAGCAATTGGTGAGTTGCCGGCTCGGGCTGTATGTTAATGCGGTTGCATTTCGGAGTTGTCTGACACATTATTTGGGCTTTGATGTGGGACGTCGTCGTTGTCGAATGGTTTGTGTTATGGAGAATATGTCCAGCGAAAGAATATATCCGGAGGTGAATGTATGCAAGCGAAGGGATGTATCCGGCACTGACTGTGTCATATCTGCTCTCATTTGTTGATGTCTATGGGTGCTCTTACTTGCATTGTTAGACCTTCTCATGTACTTTCCTTGTTTTGTTTGTAATCATGCTGCAAACATAGGAACAACTGCATCAATATAATGAATGCATTTAGGTCAACCATTATCTCTACTTTGTGGTGATTTTATCAAGGCTCTGGTAAGCATGAAGCATTGGGCATTGGACTTTGGTGTGGCAGATTTCTCCAAACACACCCGAGAACATGACGAGTTCTGTCGATCATCTCCTTGGAGTCATCAGCGATTTATGTGATCTTGTTTGGGCTTCGCTGCGCGCTCAACGCCGTCACTTTTTTACCCACGGTTGCGCTAAGTTCTGCTCCTACTAGGTACCAAAAACTCAGTATCGCTCCTACCGCTGGCATGATGCTGGGCCACGCACAATTTTCTGTAGAACTGAACAAGTGCCGATGCCGGCCTGAATTCAGTCCGTGCTCCTCCCAACACAGCCGGCACGGTCGCATTCGATATATTTAACAAATCATAATATAAGTTCGTTCAAGTAGACCACTCATATCTGTACAGTGAACACTGGCATGTCGAGGGAGGCCTCCCCTCCTACCCACCCCTGCCCTGTGCCATCCCCGCGCGACCCTCAGGCGAACACAGTATAACGCGGCGCGGCGGCTCCTCTGACTGAGGCGGCGCTGCCGGCCGGGAGATTACCTAACAACGGTGGGCGGGACGGCGAGAGCCGCGGCACGCGCCGTAGCAGCTCGCCACACACGCGCGAGCACCAATCAATAGGACTGAATCAATCACACGGGCCCAGCGGGCCTACACCGGCTGACTCGAGACGCACATCAGAGTCATACGAGTCATGACATCACGCTGAGGACCACTGACGCGGGGACTCCCGGCTCATGGACGGTCCACGGTCAGCCGACGCTCGACCCTCCTATCCACGGCGCCGGCGGCCGAGGGCCACCCAAACCGAGCACAGACCGCCCCTCCGCGCACACACACGCGCACATACCGATCACGGGCTGGGGAGGTCGGGCCGAGTCCCGTCCCCGATCACAACTGAAAGAACCGGGCCAGCCGACCGCGCCCCAGCGCAGTGGCGCGATGGGCCCTGACGGGTGGCGGCTGCATGAAGGTCACCTGATATTCGGTCATATCATGTCCCAAGCATCGCAATACATCCCCAGATAGATACCAAACAAAGTCAGACTCGGTAAAGGAACAGGCAAAGACGAGAACAACGGTAGTAATCTATCGAGGACACTGAGGCAGACGAGACTCATTGTAAAGACAAAATAAAGAACGCAGATTACCAACAAGAAGGACCATGCACAATCGGTTGGGAGGAACTGGTTAGCACGAGCACCAATTCACCCGTCACGGAACGCACTTTCACCATCAGCGAGACGCAGCGGTCCCCGAGTCGGCACATAACACATCCGTTATCCAGCGCGGCGGCGACGGCAACTGAACGGGCGACACGGCAGGCGATACTCACTTTTCTGCTTTTTTTCTCAAGATATGCCTGGAGTATAGCCCTAGAATAATGGAAGCCGCACTCGGTAAAGAAAGCAGCCTTAGCATGCAGTCAGTCTGAGGCGATAATGAACAGTCTATGTTACTTGAGACACATGGCTGCCTTATCCATGATATAAAATCGGAAGATCGGTGGATAGCTGGAAGAGGAGCTACGTGAATGAATAAAGACGGGAAAAGGCGAAGAACCAAAAAGCGCATAGCTCTTACCGTGTGGCGGGCCTTCAAACCTGGCAGCCACTTCGTTCCCCTCCCCCGGTACGTTCTGCCCAGCCCTAAACTGAGGGACGAAGGCCCCACTGCGTGTAAGCTCAGAACGGCCGCTGGCGGCGCGGCCCTGCCCGGCCCGGCGACCCGAGGCGACTGGCCGACCGAAGCTCCGCCGGGCCCGGCACGGCCGCGCCGCAGCGGCCAAACACAAATAACAAAACGTCTTAAATACTGATTAGGTCAAAACCGCAGACCCCGTCTCTGTGCGTTCTGTGGCGGCGCCGACTGTGGCGGGTCGGGGAGCGACACGCGAAGACTGAGGTCCGCCGACTCATCACAGAGGACCGCCCGCGTTAGATCACACAGGAGGGGATAGCCGCGGGTCGTCCTCAGACAATATCACACAAATATCGAGCACTTACCACGCGCCCAGTCCTCTCGCTCGCATCACATTCAATATCACTCAGCTGTCGGCCACCTATTGCACCAAACTTTCACGCTACTCACGTACCTCAGATAAGAACTGACACTCAGCACGCAGCACGGGGTCGGGTCGGGTCGGAGTCGGCCGGTCGGTCGGCCGCACCGTCCCGCCGCGGAGATCACACTGGCGTCCTGCGCCGCCACAGATCACGTCAAGGCCTTCGGAGCGCGGGCGGAGACGCGTCACCGGGTCTCCGGCCGGCCGGGAGGCGGGCGGGGAGGAGGGGGTCGCCCACCACCGGCCCGGCGCGGCTCGCCCGGCGAGCAGCCGTCCGCTGCGGCACCGTCGGCCACTACGGCTCAAAGTTCAGCAAGTACTCCTTGAGCTGTGCTGGCAGCGGCAGTTTACTGACGTTGGGACCGGGCCGACGTCTCAGCGCACCGTAGATGGTCACACGACAAATCTGTTTTAGAGTCCGCGGGTTGGTCTGCAGTTGACGCAACAGGCTGGCCAGCTGCCACTTGATGGGCGCCAGCGTGGCCTGCGTGTGCAGCAGCCGCAGACAACTGTACAGCACGCTGTGGTCCATACACATGTAGTACAGCCGTATGATGCGCTCAAAACGCCTCTCCGGGTCTAGGAGCAGCTCCTCGCGCCGGATCAGCCGCTGGATGTAAAAATACAACACCTGGTGTGACGACCGCTTCAGGAACACGGACGACTGTGAGTGGCAGATTTTCGGCTCGTTGCTCGTGCTAATGGCGACGTTCGGGTCGGCGCCGTACTGGAGCAGTGTCAGCGTCAGGTCACGCACGTGCCCCAGGTCGGCGGCGCTGCGTGCCGACGACACCATGTCGATGACCGACAGTAGGATGTGGTGCGACCGCTGACTGAAGCGCACGTTCGGATCGAGTCCGTGCTGGAGCAGAATCACCAGCAGCTGCCGAATGAAGTCGAACGCCTGCGCCTTCTCTGCCTCTCGGCTGAGCGCGATGTTCTCCGAGGCAGTGAACATGAGCACGTGCAGCGGCGTCAGGTTGCTGCGCGACGAGCAGTTGGGGTTGGCGCCGTGCTTGCAGAGGATGCGCACGCAGTTGAGGTAGAACACCTTCATGGTGTGGTTGAAGTGGTGCAGCGGGTCCTTGTTGATGAGCGGCACCAGGCAGACCATCAGCGGCACAGAGCCGTCACGGCCCACGATGTTGGGGTTGCCGCTGTTCTGCAGCAGCATGTCCAACAGCTCGTACCTGGTGGCGCAGACAGGGAGGAGGCGGGACTCAGACGGATGTGTGGCAGCCGGCAGGAGCTGGTTAGGGGGCCGATCAAAGTTCGTCGACAAATCGCGCAGCTATGTAACGCAGAACTTTGGCACACTGCAAATCACGATGGATATTTCTGAAAAAGTACGTCATTATGTCAATGCATGCAAAAAAAAAAAAACTAGGCTGTGCTTTGCGTATTGGCCTTTCCTTCATTACCAGTATTCACGTCCATTTCCTCACGCACATCCATCCGCCCGCCCGCCCACCCGTCCAGCCCGGTCCGGTCCGGTCCGTCCGTCCCTCACCTGAACTCCCAGTCCCTGACGTGCCGCAGCACACAGGCCAGCGCGCTGTTGCCCTGCTGGTTGATGCTCGGCGCGGCGCCGTTCTGGAGGAGGTAGCGCACTAGGTGAAGCGTATCCCACTTAGTCCACGGTGGCGGCTCGTGGTCGTACCCGTAGCGCGCCTCCTCCAGCGCGTACCTGGATACGAATTGGGATAGGGGGTCAAGGGCGTGCGGTAGAGTGCGGCTTTCAGGACAGCGGGGACGGTCAAGGGTTGAGTGCAGCTCCGATGACTCGTGGGGCTTGGGCTCACACTACGTCGTCCACTCCAGAAGTTTTGAGACTGGCCTCGTAAAACCCATATGAACAGTGCTAGATACTTGTTGTTCTCACAAGTCCTTACCACAGTTGTTATAAACGTACTTGCGTAATTTTGTTTTTCTACGTTGCAAAAGACGGCAACGGTGTCACCCTGAACATGGCAAGTCGCACGCGGCTTGTCACAGTGAACAGTGTAGAGCACAGTCAGGCTGTTCATGTGAAGACAACTTGGAGGGTCGCTGTGCAATAAAATTTTGGGATTAGCTTGGCAAAAATGCCCGAGAAACATAGCAAATTGACTCTAAGGTGACTTGAGACGAAAGCTGGATGTATTTTTACCATCATGAGACCAAGAGACAGAAGGTCCAATGAAAACACACTGACTCCTTCAGACCCAATAAAGACAGCGGCGCAGGTCCACTGGGAAGTTCAAATTAATCCCTTACTTAGAACAAAAAGGCAAAAACTTCATAACCTGGGTCCCCTACACGGCCAGATGGTCAATAAGGAATGATTCGTGAAGGTTCTGAGGGAGTTGAGAAAGAGATTTCGCCGCAAGAGGTCGGAACTCTTCAACTGTGGCCAGGGGCTCCTGCACCTGGACAGCGCACACACCCACAAGTCCACTATGGAGACGAACTATCTGACACAGATGTGCGTCAAAACCGTCCGTAACCCTTCCCACTGTCCTGATCTGGCCCCCGTGGCTTCTGGATGTTCCACAGACTGACAGGGAAGCTCAGAAGACAGACTGACAGAAGCTCTTTCGGAGGATGTGGAGGAGATGAGTGAGGCTGTGACAGAGGCCCTGGGCACCTTCACTTTGAAGGCCTATCAGCAGGCCTTCAGGCAGTGACAGGAGCGCTAAAGCAGGTGCATTGGACTCGGGAGGTTCCATTTCGAGTCATACAAGTTTCATGCTTCTCTGAAACAGACAACTGTCTCTACTAAAGTCTCAAAACTTCTGGAGTGCACCACGTAGATAAGCGGATGCAGTGTTTTGTTAGAGACACACATACAAATTACAACGTGGCTTGACCTAAAATAAAACACGACTGAGATCCAGAGCAAAATTAAGTGTACAGTGAGAATCCCTGGTCACAGGTCTCGACAGCTAAGCAATGAGTCGTTGAACAATACATTAGCACCAAACACAACACTGAAATTCGCCGTCGTCAGACCAGGAACGTGTACTCACAAGACGTCGGTCTGACCCCACTGTACGTCGTCGTCAGCTTGATGTGCGCACCCACCTAGCGATGAGTGCGTGCAGAGGCGTGTTCCCCAGCGAGTCCGGCTCGTTTATCAACTCCCGCAGGCCGTGGTCGAGCAGCAGTTTGGCCGTACAAAGCGTGTCACTCACAGTCTTCTTCCCCAACAGAAACACCTGCAAAGAGGGGGCGGGGACGTGAGAGGAAGGCTGCTGCGGATGGTGCTCAGCTTCGGACACCCCATTAGGTCATCCACTCAGTCTGGTTGCCCACCACCTTTACTACATGCAGCAGTGGCTTGTTCTTAATGACTGGCATACCCTCCAAGACAGTCTTAGCCTTGTGAAGTTGCCCTTCTCCCAGGTCATCTGGACAGCTATGTCCAGGTATCCTGCTTCGCCTCACAAAATGCATCAGAGTTTTCTGCTGTGTGGAGCTGCTGGTATTTACTCCCTCTCTAGTCCCAGCCACGTCCCAGTCCCAGTTAGTCCCAGGCCCCACTCCCACTCACCACGTGCAGTAGCGTCATCTGCTGTGTGGAGGTCCGTACTAGCGTGTCTGCACCGCACGCAATCAGCCTCTCCAGAAACTGGACGTGATGTAACGCCGCCTGGTGGATGGGGTAGTACTCGTCGTAGCACTGATTTATCTCGTCCGACCTGGAAGGAGACCAGGCCCGAAAGTGGTTAGTAAGGACGATGGGTTTAATTTCAAGGAATTTAGAGCGATCGCTTTGTATTGACTAATTATTGTGGCCAGTAGCTTGCGCACGTAGGCAGAGCTTCTTGCTCTGGTTCTTGCCTCCTTCGTTCAATCGGAAATGCCAGATGACGGCATGATTTAGGGAAGAATGTGTATGGCCTGCACAACCCACAAACACATTTTGTTACCGCACCCACCTCTCTGATACCAGGTACTGCACGCAGTTCCAGGCGCCCCGTTCGCAGGCAATGTGTAGCAGAGGCCGCTTCTGGTGCCAGGGCAACCAGTGGTCCTCGCCCTGCTGGGTCAGCAGCTCGAGAATCTCCACCTGAATAGCGGGACAGCCGTCAGACACCAAACACAGGCCGGCCGGCTCCAGTGCACTAAATCGAGCGGCCGATATGTCGCATAAATTTAACGACGATAAGTGATTGACGGGTTCATTGCGATGGGATATATTTGTTAGCTGATACCGAGACAGCAATCCGGAAGCTTTATAGGAGGGCAACAAAACAGCTCAAATGCTTAGAACGAAAAATCATATTATGGCATGAATCTGTAATGATGCCCCGTATCTTAAAAATATAAGAATAACATCCCAACTATAAGTACAAAACCACGCCACTACACCAGCTCCGCCCGATCCCAATATCTCCCCTGTCTCATCCCCGTCCCACCATCCCACACACCCACCTGATCGCCGTCAATGGCGTAGTAGACGGCCGACTGGAGCCGGTCGCTGCTGCGCTGGTCGGCGCCGCCCGGCTCAAACGGACTGCAGTAGTTGCCGCGCTGCTCGCAGTTCTGGTTGTGCGGGCCCGGCCAGCACATGCGCGCCTCCACGTCGATGCGCGCGCCGTGCTTCAGAAGCATCTCCACACAGTCCTCGTACCTGCCGGACCGACGGGGACTCAGCGGCGTCAGAGGGTGGGGAGGAGGCGTGACCCGAATGGAGAAGAAGATAGCGCAAACTACAAACTTCTCGGCCTTAGTTGCCACAGCCTGTACCAGCCTTGACCGCTAGAAAATTGATTATCTCAATCCAAAATATCGGAAACTGAGCAGATGATTTTCATGTCCTTTGTTGTGACTTTTCACGATTCTAATGTCATCAAATAAGCCTGCCATGGACAACAAATTATTCAATAATGTTATAGCAGCCACAGATCATGAAAGCGCAGGTACTATCCAACAGCTTTTTCACTTCTAGTGATGCATACAAGCTGACTTTTTTCTGAAGCACTAAAAACTGGGTCAAATGCTATAAAAGATCATTTTATCTAAGCATTCCAAAAATCCTCCTAAATCTCGTCCATTTCTCCTACCCAATTCCCACCAGCCTAAATCATGCCCAGCCACAGTGTGGTCCTCTCCCCCCGCCCCCCCCCCCCCCCAGCCAGCCACCTTCCGTAAACACTCACCCTTTGAGGCAGGCGATGTGAAGTGGTAGCGAGCACACTCCGCGGTTGACGTCCAGGTTTCGGCTCAGGATCCAGCGCACCATATCCAGGTTGTTCATGCCGACACACTTCTGCAGCAGGTTGTAGCCCTCCTCGTTGTGCACCTGAAGAATGTTCTCTCCCTGTGGTAGACGAGCGGGTTAAATGTGTGGACTGGAGAGCCATCCTCAATATTGGTGAATGTCGGTAACGTTCATCAGAGCAGAAACCCATGGTCGAACCACTGCATCTTCGCAATTGGACACATGTAATCTAAATGATAAATACCGCCCAAATCAGGAGCAAACACTTGATATCGTAACCACTAACCGCATTCACTTTTGTCAAAGCACAAACAAATGAGTTTCCGCACGGCATGGTCACGCCGCACGCCTACCTTGTTGATCTGCGAGAGGACCGGCTGGAGCCGATGCACCATGTTGCGCGGGTTAGCCCGCAGCGTGTCGAACAAGAAGCGGACATTCTTGGTGGTCTGCTCGCTCAGTTGGCGGTGGTTTGAGTTGAGCAGCGCGCTGCCCGACTGAAAGAAGCTCGACAGCTGATTGCCCATGGTGGCAGTCGGCTGTCGACCGCTCCCGTTCGTCCTGTGAACAGCGGCCGCACAATGCAGAACAATCAGTGTTCTGCTGGGGCTCGTAGCTTCCAACAGAATGAGCTGATCAGTGTGTTCGAAATGTGATGAAACACGTAAACTGTCGCTTTTTGTAGAAATAAAGTCTGAACGGCTCAGGGCGGCTTTTGGGTTCGATTTCTCGCGATTCCGTTCAACATTGACTTGACGTTTTGGAGATCAGCCATTCACTCGTAACTTTGTTCGAGATTCGTTCGAAGATAGACGGTCTGTTGTGACACGGGCCATTGGTAGTTGCATGTCAGTGAAGGGAGGCAACATGTCATTTATAGAGAACGTCACAGGGCTGCGGAGTTGGAGTCGGGGTCGGTCTGAGTCGACAGTTCTAATAGGAGTCAGAGTTGTAGTCGATTTCGGAAACCGGAGCGGGAATCGGAGTCGGAGTCACCGGAAATCCATCGACTCCGCAGACCATGCAGGGCTGCAGAGTCAGAGTCACCGAAAATCTATCGACTCCGCTGCCCTAACTATAGATCGATGTGGCGTTACTCACGGTACTCATGTTATAAACACAAAGACATTCAATGAATGGCACTAGTTTGTCTCGAGTATGTGGCCGTAGATTTTCCGAGATTGCTTTTTGTACCTATTTGTCATGCACCCAGTAAGTGATGTTGATGTGTGTATTGATGCGTGCTTATTTTTCGAAGATGAAAGCGGAGAATGTCTCAATATGTCCTGTGTAGGTCAATGGACGCGCCGACCGGCGGTCAGCTGCAATACAGTGTCCTTGGAAGACAGTGTGTGTTAGCTGCAGCCATTACTGATTACACCCAGGAGCCACACCTAGCAGTGCTTATTGAGAATATCATTCACTGTTACAATTTTAGCCTTAAGTTTGACACATCACGGGAACATAGTGACAAAGTCCTCATCTAGTGTGGCCCTCTCTTGCCAGGTATCAGCTGGCTCAATACAGAAACGTGGGTCAAACAGCATTGGAGATTCCCTGCACGAGCCAGCACTGAACTCACTCTCAGCATGTTAAACAGCAGATTATTTATCCACTAAGCCACAAGGTGGACAATCAGTAACTGTCTTTACCAAGCTAGGTAATACTTCCCTCAGCTATTTTCCAACAGCTTTTTTCATAACCCTCACCGGACCTATATGTTTTCTACATACGCGCCGGTCGAGGGGGGGGGGGGCGGGTACGACCCCCTCGCCGTTTCGCCCCTGGTGGAGCTAGCGCGTCGCGGAAAAAACGAGCGTGTGCGCCGTTACGAGACGCAGAGATTGGTACCCGATTTTAAGGTCCTAGGTCAACCGGTGATCTCTGAGGTCAGGTCAAGTGCCCCAAGGTACGGTTCAGTTTTTGGTGAATAACTTCGCAAAAAACGGCCGCAGAGCGCCGATTTTGGCAGCATCGTGTTCGCCTCGCCCAGGCGCGTCGAATGATATACTTTTTGTTTGGGTCAGGTCAACTTAGGGTGTTGACCTCAGGTCAAGGTCAGGTCAGCGCCCCCAGGTCACGAAGTTGGTCGAAAGAGGTCATGTCGCATATCATTCGATTCGGCAGGTCTTCCGGAGTCCATTGGGGGGCTTTCCCGACTCGCTAGCTCAATTTGATCAAGAATTATTGACGAAAAACTAATATGACGTTAAAGGAAATAGTTCACTTTTTAACATGGGTTTTGAACTGGAATAGCAGTTCTGTAGCTTAGGCTGAGACGAGCATAAATCAGGAGATTTTACAGCCCAACGATCACCCTAGGCAAAGATATTCTATTTCTCGTCCCGAAAAAGGTGTCTTGCGTTGAGGATGTGTGCCTTGCATATATTTCCATCCAGTATGAAAAGAGCATGGGTCCCGAAAATTATTCAGAAAGTAGAGAAATTATCTACGAGAACTCTAGAGAAATTCTCGTACTGATCAATTAGGACATTCAGGGGAACATTATCAGATCGAGCAGATCGCCCAAATGCCGGTGGCTGCGATAATTTCTCTGTTTCTGAAGAATTTTCGGGACCCATGCTCTTTTCATACTGGATCGCCTGTGCCTTACAGAAACTGAAAAGTTCTTCCTATAGCAAAATATAGAAAAAAAATCTTTTGTTATAAAAAGGTTTTATTTTCTTTGCTGATTATTTTGAACATAAAAAATCATAAATCGTTGCAAAAAAAAATAATTTCGTGAAAGTGAACTATTTCCTTTAAAGGGACCCTCCCACCTTCAAAAAAGTTAATGAATTGGCATGAAAGTGATGTCGCTCGGTTCAGAAAGAGCAAAAACGAATATCTACCAAATTTCATCGAAAAATATTCACCGGTTTTCAAGATATTAGACTTTTACTTTTGTTTACTTTTTGGGGTCTCCGCTGTTCCTAGCGACTTTATTTGAAAGTGCGGCATTTGTTGCGCGCAAAGCAGCATATACCACCGCGTGCTACAAAACGTTTTAGTCAAACATTTAACGGACGTTCGAAAGCCTGATGACGTCATCAGATTCCCGTAATGGTTAAGAGATAGGGACCACGCTGGTCCCACCCTGCAAGTAAAGGGAAGAAATTTCTTGAACACCATAAAGCTGCGGGGGTTGCGACCAGGATAAATGGTGGTTTCTGAGCCTGGCCGCAAACTTGGCTATCTCAACTCAAAACTAATGTTAAGGTGGGAGGGTCCCTTTAATGACGTCATAAACGATGTCACGCAAGGTCAACATTGCAAATGCAAAAGTGACGTGTCTAGCCTTGCAAGGAATGCATCAAATCACGATTCTGTGTGCTTGAGATAGTTGGGGATGGTTCCTGGTGCCAAAATAGCAGTTTTCATTTTTCCCCATTGACTTATAATGGTGAGGTCACGAAAATGACCTGACCTCATATGACCCTTAGGAAAAATCTGAGATATACAAGTTGTGAGACTCGTAATGGATCCTAAATCCTGCAAGTTTAATTTCCCTGTGAAAGCTCTTCTGGCAGTGAGGGCATTGCGAGGTTGCAACATCTGAAGACCGTGCAGAGGTTCACTTATGACGTCATACGTCAGTGAACTGACCTGACCCAAAAATGTGGTTGGTATCAAAAGATCCAGCTTGAATCAAAGGTCAGGTATGCTATGTTTCAGCTCTCTATCGCCAGCGTGTTCGGAGCTATCGCGAAAAAACCCTATGGGTGGCGGCAACCGCCCCCCTCGGCCGGCGAGGGTTAATGGAACCTTAGCTTGTAACATGGTAATTATTTTAAGAGTAATGTGTTCCACTCCAAAAGAAGCTTGAGCTTCACTATCCATCAATAATTGCAATGGTTCCTCGCAAACGCTGACATGCTGCAACTATACTGCTATACTTGTAAATTACAACTGATCACAATCAATAATGGCTATATATGTAAATGCAATGACAGCAGTAGGTAAAGATAATGTGTACATCCCATTGTTAACTCAAGCAGAATTCTTTAGTGCCTACCAACCTACCTCTTTTTAAATGTGTATTTGATTTTTTTTTGTAAATACTGTACAAAATCCAAGTATTTCTTCTACCTATTTTCTAGCTTAACCCTATTCCTGGCGGGCTCCGCCGGGACAAGAAACTGGCGGGAGGGGGGCCGATTCGGCCCCCCCCCCTTCAGATCTCAAAAACTACACATCGCAGCGACAAACGGTAAACGGCATCGGATACGCACGGTCAAGATCTACAATTTTTACTAAGGTCATTTTCAGGTCAGGTCAAAGATGACGTCACAGGGGTCGAAAGTCAAAATGGCGGCGCTAGATATGGAGAGAGTTTTTCTCGAATAACTTTCGAATTAGTCAAGATAGGAACAAACTAAGGGCATCATCGTGATCCTCTCGTCAATCCGCATCGAATGATATATATGTTGACCTCGAAAGGTCAAGGTCAAAGGTTGACCTCAGGTCACGTGACCTCGAGGTCATCATGTATATCATTTGATGCGTCTTGACGAGCTGAACACAATGAGACCATCCACGCGTCTGTATCTTGTTCCTGTACGGAGTTATTGGCCAAAAACCTTTGGTGACCTGTATATGGGGCCATTCCGACCCGTTTTAGTGGTAAAAACAGGGAGTTGATTTTTCCCCCATTGACTTATAATGGGGAGGTCGCGAAACTGACCTGACCTTAGGTCACCGATATCAAAATTCTGAGATATACAAATTGCACATACTGGTACCCTAACTAAAGCCTGAAGAGAAGAAATTGATCGGTCAAAAACTCTAGCTCTGGCGTGATTGCAAACTTTTCTGAGGTAGGGTCACCAAACCGCCTCTGGTGACCTGACCTGAGGTCAGATCAACTCAAAATTTTCAGACATGCGTAAAAGCCTTTTAGGAAAAGTCAGAAAATTTGAGCTTCCTAGCTCAACGCGTTTGGGAGAAATAACCAAAAAACCTCAGGGGGGGGCTCCTGAGGCCCCCCCCCCCCCCCCGCCAGGAATAGGGTTAATAAAAGAGTGTTCTTCCTTTCCATGCATTCACATTACCAATGCCTGCTGCTCTTAGAGTAGGCTAAAGGCAGATAGATGTAGTCCTAATATCCTTGACAAAACATGATATTTATCTATATTGATATCATGCTACATGCACCATTCAATATTTTGCCATTTATTTTCCGCCTATCTCCCAAATCATGTTGCACTTGTACTCCGTGCAGTTACTGCAAACTATGTTGTAGATTGGGTATGGACATCACGTGAAACATATTAATCACATAATCGTGTAGAACAAAACTGACAAGCGACAACTGACAACCGCCCGTCAAACTAAGATTATTGTTATGGCGTAGATTAATTCTACATTAAGTTGTGGAAATGTAGAACAGTAGTCATAGCTGGCAATTAAGTTTCGTTGCAGGAAAGGCATGGCAATCAACACAGATTTCCACATTAATAAGACATTTCTTCAACCTCAGACGCCGCGGCAAATCCAGCGCATCGTAAATATAACACTTTCCACAGAAAAACACTCACCAAAGACTGAAGCAGTGCTTAATGAGCACTCAGATGAAAATACTTAAATTCTACACAAGACATTCCCATCGCAAAAAGCTTGCGACAAACCCACGGAGCAGAAAATCATGGAAACACTGCAATTCATTATCAATTGTTCGCCATCGACGTCTCGAGTTCTCAGTTGAAGTATTGGGGATCAGCACTATTCCCATAATAACAACAGATTTAGCGTTACTTTGCAAAAATGATGCAAATAAATGATTCAATTTAATACTCGAAAGTTCAAGGAAAAAGTTCCTCAAATACGTAAAGCAATTAAAGATTTGAATCAAAATCACGGCCGTCCAGCAGAAAATCAATATAAGAGAGTCCTTTCTGTGCTACTTTTCTCATCACTAGCATGAAGACAGGGGTCTGTACAGCTAAATAATAAGCTTGAAAAATACATGTAAAAGCTAATGATTAACCCGGTTTACATAGCATTTTTGACGAGGCTCTAGCTCGTTAATTTGGCGATAATTTCGATGCAGTGGTCTTCAAATATTTGGAGGGTATCATTTTGTAAAGTGTTAGGCACCATTGGCATCTTTTGCAACATCATGGACGGAGATATAAGCTTGGAACAAACCCTATGACGCGTCTATTTATCCAGTGCTTTCCGCGATAACTAATTATCGGACCTGCGATAACGATAAAACGATAAGAAAGGTTTCCGATAACAACACACGATAAACGTGAAAATTTAAAAAAAAACAGCGATAGCGATAAAACGATAAAACGATAACGATAATTGTTCTTAACAGCGAAAACGAAACGATAAACGATAAAACGATAACGATAATTGTTTTTTAACAGCGATAGCGAAACGATAAACGATAAAACGATAACGATAATTGTTTTAAACACCGATTACAAAAGCGATCAGAAGTACTTAGTTTATTTAAAAACTGTAGGTACCTACCTACTTAAAGTTTATTTGCAGTAGGTATATATTCAATACTGGATCATACAAGTAAAGGAAAAGGAAGAAGCACATTTTAGTCAAGCTCAGCATAGCTGTCTCATGCTCTGTGTCAGTATTGGCCAGTGGACTCCATCTTCTCTCTCTTCAAGATAGCCTCCAGGAGGGCCATGTTGCCCTTGGTGAAGACCAGTTGCTGAAACTTGTCGCTGGTCATGCTGGCGCGCTTGGGCCTCAGGACATCCCCGGCCGTGCTAAACATGCGCTCCACAGCGGCAGAGCTGGGCAGGGGGGTGTAGTACTTGATGAACAATGCGATCCACTTGTCCCTGTGCAGGCTGGGGAAGTGCTCTGGCTTCACCTCAGCTTCCTTGCTCCCATGGCCCATGCAGCTCCTTCCTGATGAGCTCCTCATCAGGAAGGATTTTATCGTTTATCGTTCATAATTTTTGTAACTTGCGATGTGGATGCGATAAGTGAATGAGCGATAATTTTGAAAATTTAGCGATAAACGATAACGATAACCGATTTACTTAACAGCAAAGATTATCGTTTATCGTTTATCGCTCATCCTATCGCATGCGGCAACAACTGGATTTATCAATCGATAAATCGCTAAAATATAAGTACAAATTAGGAATGTCACAAGAAAAATGGCTTCTGTGAAAATTGATAAACATTTCATTCAAGCCGACTTTTATCATCAGGGTTACTGCCGCTTTGCTCAGGCCCTACTGGGGGTCATGGATTTCCACGCCCTGCTGGGGGGGGGGGTGAACATCCCCCTACTAACTCGGCTCCTGGGCCACGTAGCGATACGGGAAAGGCGGCGTTCGGAAGAGCGTCAAAAATAAGGAAGAAATCACTTCGGTCACTTTTTTGGTCAGGTCAAAGGTCAGGTCACCAGGGGTCATTAAAGGTCAAAATTCGTCGATTTGTAGGTCAGATGTCGACAATTTTCAGCAAATCGACGCACAGCCCGAAAACTAATAAAGCTACAGCGCCGCGGAAAAGCGCAGTTGAAAGCCCTTTTAGCGCTCTTTCTGAGTAATTCTCTCAGATTTGACCTACCGTCAACAGTTTTGCCTGCAGGGGGCAAAAACTGCCAAAAAAGCCGATTTTTTGGAAACAATTTTTCTGCAATAACTTTTGACTTAAACCTTGCACGAACTTTCTTTTACCACAATCGTGTTCCTCTCGTCAAGACGCGTCGAATGAACTATCAATTGACCTTGAAAGGTCAATTTGAAAATTTGACCTCAGGTCAAGGCCATAACCTGACCGGTAAGGGTCAAGTTGCATGTCAGTCGATCCGTATCGTTTAGCCAAACACAACTAAGATGTTTTCATCGCTCTAGCATGCCTCTCTCAAAAGTTATTCGCGAAAAACAGTCAGATACCATTGGTGACCTGAGATGACCTCAGGGGCATAAAAAGGGGTCACGGGTGCCATTTTGGCATGTTCAGTGTGTCATACAATAGTGATTCAGTGTTTTAGCCCTCGCCCGTATTGGTGTTTTTCCAGCCGCGAACGTATACCTAAGGGGAGGGGTTCGTTGGACCCCCTGCCGTTTCGCTCCTAATCGAGCTAGAGCTTCGCGGAAAAAAAACGAGCGTGTTGCCCGTGACGAGAGGAAGCCAATAATACCCAATTTTAAGGTCCTAGGTCATTGGTTGACCTTCCAAGTCAGTCACCCAAAAGTCGGGAAAATCGGGACCTGTTAGAAAGTCGTAAAGCGTGGCTGCTATGGGGTTTTCGGGGTGCTGATCACGAATATCATGTTAGTTTTGATCACAGATGATGTCTTCATGCATTTAGGTCAGGTCGGGTCAGGTCAGGTCAGGTCAACTAGTAAGGGTATTCGCAGTAGGTGGCAACCGCCTCTGACAGCTTCGTAACATGTTACGAAGGCACCAAAACTACTTCGTAAATGTTTATTTGGATGCTAAATCCGAATTCAGCTCCAAAAACTGGCCTAGAAATATGTACCTAAAACTCGAAAAAGTGAACCGAGGTCATCAAAGGTCAATGACCTGACTTGACCTTCCGGTGACCTTGACACTAGTGATGTCAATTACGGAAAATCGGAATACCGATACCAAACCAAATACCAACCAAAACCGTGGAGCAATACCGAAACCAAACCAAGTTGGGAACTTGAGGATAATACCAACTTTTTACCGATTTCTTAGCCTCTTAAACATTTGCGAGGGTTCATGATACCAACAAAATACCAAACACATTAGGATTGAAATACCAAATACCGAGTTGGTATCGGTTTGGTATCGGTATACCAAAAAGTTGGTGTCCGATTGACATTTCTGCTTGACACCCACCCTCATGCATGGGAGCAACATCATATCCCATGTTTGAACGCTTAAAACCACGAAAAGACTGCAAACGCGCTGCTAATGCGAGCCGACATACGCCGAATCGCGATTCCGGCCAAACATGGTCTCGAAAAGTAGGTTACAGGTCAAAGGTCATTAAGGGCAGGGTCATGAAAATTTCAGGGTAGGTGTAAAATTGATTAACGCGAGGGTACTGAGAGTTTCATCGCAATCGGCCGCTTTTTACGCGAGTTATTCGCGAAAAACCGAGGGGGGGGGGTCCGTTCGACCCCCCCCCCCTATACAGGCGAGGGTTAGAGTGTTTAAAATGACTTCCGTCTAAAAAAGGCGACTTTCAGTTTTCTCCCATTGACTTAGGTATCTATAGGTCCGTGTGGTTGAGATAGTTTGAGATCGTTCCAGGCACTAAAATAGCAGCTTTAATTTTGCCCGCATTGACTTATATGGTGAGATCACGTGACCGACTTGACCTCATATGACCTTCTTGGAAAAATCAGATATACATATTTTCAGACCTCTGGAGTCTGGAGGGTACTATACATCCTGTAAGTTTCATCTCCCTAAGGAAGTTCCTCTGGCAATGAGGGCGTTGCGAAATTACGACACCTGAGGTCCGTGCACAGGCTCACTTATGACGTCATATGTCAGTGACCTGACCTAACCTGGAAATGCCAGTCGGTGTCACAAGATACGGCTTGGATCAAAAGTAATGTACCTATGTCAAGTTTCAGCTCTCTATCACCGGCTTGCTCGGAGCTATCGTGAAATAGCTTATAGTGGGAGGCACCCGCCCTCCCCCCTCCCCTTCATAGAGATCTTATACACATAGAGATGACACGCCTATCCTATGTTAACCCTCGCCGGACCTATTGGTTTTCTACATACGCGCCGGCCGAGGGGGGGGGGTACGACCCCCCCTCACCGTTTCGCCCCTGGTGGAGCTAGCGCGTCGCGGAAAAAACGAGCGTGTGCGCCGCTACGCGACGCAGAGTTTGGTACCCGATTTTAAGGTCCTAGGTCAACCGGTGACCTCTGAGGTCAGGTCAAGTGCCCTAAGGTACGGTTCAGTTTTTGGTGAATAACTTCGCAAAAAACGGCCGCAGAGCCACGATTTTGGCAGCATCGTGTTCGCCTCGCTCAGACGCGTCGAATGATATACTTTTTGTCCGGGTCAGGTCAACTTGGGGTGTTGACCTCAGGTCAAGGTCAGGTCAGCACCCCCAGGTCACGAAGTTGGTCGAAAGAGGTCATGTCGCATATCAATCGATTCGGCAGGTCTTCCTGAGTCCATTGATGGCTTTCCCGACTCGCTAGCTCAATTTGATCAAGAGTTATTGACGAAAAACTAATATGACCTTGATGACGTCATAAATGACGTCACGCAAGGTCAACATTGCAAAAATGACGCATCTAACCTTGCAAGGAGTGCATCAAATCACGATTCTGTGTGCTTGAGATAGTTGGAGATCGTTCCCGGCGCCAGAATAGCAGTTTTCATTTTTCCCCATTGACTTACCTATAATGGTGAGGTCACGAAAATGACCTGACCTCATATGACCTTTAGGAAAAATCTGAGATATACAAGTTGTGAGACTCATAATGGATACTAGATCCTGCAAGTTTCATTTCCCTGTGACATCTCCTCTGGCAGTGAGGGCGTTGCGAAGTTGCGACATCTGAAGACCGTGCAGAGGTTCACTTATGACGTCATAGGTCAGTGACCTGACCTGACCCAAAAAAGCGGTTGGTGTCAAAAGATCCGGCTTGAATAAAAGGTCAGGTATGCCAAGTTTCAGCTCTCTATCGCCAGCGTGTTCGGAGCTATCGCGAAAAAAAACCGCGAAAAAACTCTCGGCCGGGCGAGGGTTAAAGCACTTGATTTCGTGGCGATTCAGTGGGTCTTTTTAAGCAAGGTTTTCTGGGGTGCCATGGCCCGTGACTTGCATTTTGTAAGGATCCGGTCAAGGAGGTTGTGTTCACATCCGCTTATTTTTAAGTACCTACAGCTTTTCTTTTTTGTCTAGCTGTGACGCTTTCGAGCGTTATTATTGAAATGAAATTAAGCATGTTTAACCTTATGCTC